AGAGAACTGAGCGATTGAAGAAAAATGCAGCATCACAATTGTCGTAGGTGTTGGAGACAATTATGGGTCAATGTTCAAATAGAAGTTTCTTATTGTTACTTTATCCCAGAGATGCCTTCTTGGGTTAATTGGGTTGAGTATATCTTTAATGTTTTGTCAGTATTGTCTTCTGTAATAGATTTGTATTTAATGCAGAATAATGTGGGCATTCTAATTCCTTTTTTTGAAATATTTATTTTTTAGTTGTAGTTGGACACAATATCTTTATTTTGTTTATTTATTTTTATGTGGTGCTGAGGATCGAACCCAGGGCCTCGCCCATGCCAGGCGAGTCCTCTAACCGCTGAGCCACAACCCAAGTGGCATTCTGATTCTTAACATCTCAACCTTTATTGATAATTTAGTCAAATCAGTGAATATGTGGACCCCTTTTGCAATCACATTTAAATTTTTAAATAAATAATAATAAAGGCAGCATATTTATTTAAGAATTATCTTAGAGTTAAAGCTTCAAAGAGTAATAAAAGTTAAAAAAAAGGGTCAAGAAGACATCTGTTACAGGGAATGAATAGGGCCTTAAGGAGCAGGATCTTGAACTTCTTAATTGAAAGTACAAAATCACTTAGTATTTGTCACTTTCTGAATCTAAATTATAAGTGCTTTGGGATTATGTATAGGTTTTGAGTACAAGTATATTGTCAGTGTTAGTTTTTCACATGGCCATGACTTACTTCTCTAAATACAGATTTTATCATATCACCTTCTCTGCTTTAAACTCTGTGGTACTCCATTGCCTGAAGAATAAAATCCAGATTTCTTTAGTGATAGGCAACACTTGTGATCTAGCCCTTGCCACCTCCTCTATCATCATCTTTTGCCCCTTGTTCCATTTTCCTCATCCTAAACTTCAGCATTTCTGAACTAATTGCCAATTCCTTAGAGTTCTCTTTGCACATCGTGAAAACACCCTTGCGTTGCCTTACTAACATAAAACCCGTTTTAAGAGTAGTGTCTGTGGGCTGGGGATGTGGCTCAAGCGGTATCGTGCTTGCCTGGCATACATGCGGCTTGGGTTCGATCCTCAGCACCACATACAAACAAAGATGTTGTGTCTGCAGAAAACTAAAAAATAAATATAAAATTCTCTCTCTCCCCTCCTAAAAAAAAAAAGAGTAGTGTCTGCTGTTAGGCCTTCTCTAACTCTTTTTAGTGCTGCTTTTGCTTTAATTGTAACTGAACACTTATACTTACTTTTTCTAATAACTGTACTGCTAATATTTGCTCCTGAACTGTGGGGTCTCTGATAATTATGATGAACAAAACTCATATAATTTTTTCATAGAGTTACCATTCTAGGAAGGAAAAACAGTCATTGTAAATACTGATTGCATACAATTAAATAATTATAGATAAGCTGAAGTATGAGTGCTGTGGGAACACATGACAGGGAAAGATGACAATCTGGTGGAGCAGGGAAGGCTTCCCTGAGGAAATGATATTTTAAAGTTGGGACCTAAGGGATTGTTTGGAGTTAGCTGGGTGGAGAAGGATAGCAGAGAATGGCATTCTAGAGAGACAGAACAATACGAGCAAGGCTCTGTAGTGAAAAAAATTATTGAAAAGGTGTTGGTTAGGGGCTGGGGATGTGGCTCAAGCGGTAGCGCGCTTGCCTGGCATGCGTGCAGCCCGGGTTCAATCCTTAGCACCACATACAAACAAAGATGTTGTGTCTGCCAAAAACTAAAAAATAAATATTAAAAAAATTTTTTTTCTCTCTCTCTCTTTTAAAAACAAAGAAAGAAAAGGTGTTGGTTTTTGTCAAATGCCACCCCATCCTCATCCCATAATGTGGATTGAGCCCAGGGATACTCTAGCTTCATCCCTAGCCCTTTTTTTACATTTTTTAAATTTTGAGACAGGTTCTTCCTTAGTTGTCCAGTCTGGCCTCAAACTTGTGATCCTGTGCCTCAGCCTACCAAGTAGCAGAGATTATAGACATATACCACCAACAACTGTCAAATGCTTTTGTGGTATCTATTGAGATGATGGTCTATTTGTCTTTATTCTGTCCATACGGTATGTTACACTAATTGACATTCAAATTTTAAGCTAACCTTGCATTCCTGGAATAAATTCTACTGGATGGTGTTCTTCAAACTTTGAATATATTTATAGTTACTAACCTTACTACTAATCCATAATCCATAAATTCTACTGGATGGTGTTCTTCATACTTTGAATATATTTATAGTTACACTCTGATTAAATCAGGATTCCCTAATTATATAAAATTATAACTCAAAATGCTGTTGACTTATGAATCATATAATACATTGTGATTGTTTTTCTTTTCCAACATAAATTTTTTTTTCTGAAGGTCGTGTTTTCTATTTTGCTTAAAAAAAACCTGTATTTATGTAAATCCCCTTTTATTACATTTAAAACATTAAGTATTAGTTTTTTTTTTAAAGAGAGAGTGAGAGAGGAGAGAGAGAGAGAGAGAGAGAATTTTTTTTT